CTCGCGGGACTTGCTAGGATGTCGGGAACTCCAGAGTGGGTGGTTTTGACTGCACTATGGGTTCTCAGATTCCTTAGGCCGAGTCGGAAGGGACCAGGGTGACTGCTTCTCTGGGATACCATAGGTGCAGAGGGCTGGGAGTCACCGGCTTCCCTGGCTGTCCCACCCAGCACTGGGAGTCACCTGAGGTTGAGACTGCAGTGCTGGGCACTAAGACCGATCAGAAGCCCCAGTCCTGGAATTTTAGGGAGCCCGAATCCCAGAGAGTCCGTGATTGTTCTTTCTGGACTCCTGGGGATTTACCTAGATTACCCAGTTATACCCCCTCCTGAGGAAAAGAGTAGCGGCTCTAGCTCATTAAGTATAAAGGTGGTATAATATCTCCCAACATACACATTTATTTGTCTTCACGGTGAGTTGTGTAATACCAAGACAATAAGGTCTGAAGGTTGAGAAATTGAGTCGGCTCGACGAGGGAACTTTGGCAGAGGGGCAGAAGGCATTTGTTTGTAGCTGAGATCAAAGTGTTCTGGTTGCCAAGGACAAGCACACTGCCCTCCTGTGACATAAAAACTTCAAGAATTTAGAGGCCATTATTCGGTGGAATTAGAGAGACTCTAAGTCTTGTGTATTAAGCAGAGAATCATGAATGAAAATTATTCTTAAAGCAACTAACTATAATACAGACATCGATTTACTTGGTCCTTTTCCTGTAAACTTATGTATTGCTGAACTGTGCTCTTTACAAATGCTGAATTCTGGTTTGCCTTGAATCAGAGGGCTTCAATTCTTTGTAGACCTTTTTTTTTTGAGACAAGTTTTCCTGTATTCCAAGCTAGCCTCATACTGAATGTATGAGGGCTTCAATTCTTTGTAGACCTTTTTTTTTGAGACAAGTTTTCCTGTATTCCAAGCTAGCTTCATACTGAATGGATAGCTGAGAATAGCCAAAGATGACCTTGAAAATGGTCTTCATGCCTCCTTCAGCATTTTTTGATTTTTTTAAAATTGTTTCTTTTGAGATTTGCTATTCACTCCTGAGTGGCCTGGAATTTATAGGGATCTTGTCTCTGCCTCCTGATTGGTGGAATTAAATGTGTTTACCACCGAGATAGGACTGATTCTCCATCCTTCCTCCATCCTCTCCCTCCCTTTTTGTTTTGTGTGTTTTTGAGACAAGGTTTATATATGTTACAGCCTTGGCTGTCCTGGAACTTGCTTTATAGACCAGGCTCTCCAGGTCATACAGATCCACCTGCGTCAACCAGAGTGCTGGGATTAAAGGGGTGCACCACTGTGCCTGGCTTCTTTTCCTATTTTAAAAAAGTCTCCGATTCATTATGTTTGGGTGGGAAATAGTGTGGTTAATGACTACCTTAAAGAGGTAGCCAGGCAGTGGGTGGGGCAAGCCTTTGATCCCAGCACTCCTGAGGCAGAAGCAGGCAGATCCATGTGAGTTCAAGGCCAGCCTGGTCTACAAAGCTACACAGGGAAACCATGTCTTGAAAAACCAAATAAATAATAATAATAATAATAATAATAATAATAATAATAATGAGCTGGGAGACGGAGACTTATTTTTCCTCAGTGAGCCACTGAAGTTTCTCATGCTCCAGTAGAAGAACCTTATATACTCATGCAAGCAACCCAGAACTCAGTGGATCATAAAGGGCACACAGGAAGAGGAGTTGTTGGGCGTAGTTGGGAAGTAGAGGAGGTAAGCGGGTACTGGCGAATAAGAACAAATTATTCCTGTATTTCATATATATGTATGAAATTGCCCATTTTTTTAAATTTGTAAACTATGGGGCCTTTACAAAACTAGTTTTTCACTACTCCTGAGGGAATTCAAGAACCTTTGATGGAGGCCAGGCAGTGGTGGTGCACACATTTAATCCCAGGCGGAGGCAGGCGGGATCTCTGAGTTCCAGGAACAGCTTCCATAGCTCCAGAGAAACCAAACAGAAAACAAACTCATAAGCCATCTTCCCTTTGGCAGCTGTGCCCAGTCCTGGAGGGACAGAAGCACAAATAAGCAAAGACCCCCAAAAGAATCAACATGCTGACTGGCATTCGTGGCTCCAGCCTTTAATCCCAGGACTCGGGAGGTCAGAGGCAGGGGGATTTCTGTGAGTTCAAGACCAGCCTGGTCTACAGAGAAACCCTGTCTCAAAAAATCCAAAAACAACAACAACAAAAGAATAATGTTGGTTCGCAGACTTTTTTGTTGATTGGTTTTAGGGTACCTAGCTAGTTTTTGTTGTTTTTGTTTACCATTCAGGGTTTCTCTGTGTAGCCCTGGCTGGCCTCAAACTCAGAGTTCCCTCTGCCTCTGGGGACTGAGATAAGGTGTGTGCCACCACCACCACTGCCTGAAAAGAAATATTTCATTTGTACTTTGGCCTCTTTCTCACTCTGTTATATCCAAGGTGTGTCATTGTCTGGCACCTTGTCTTTGAGCAAACTCTGTAACAGTTTCCACTGGTAAAAATGAGGATTTCTAATGGCGTTTTCCATTGGCTATTGCAAAATATAATGTAAGCCTGTGTCCAGTTGCTTGACAATTGGTAAGATATCAAATGTGAAAATTTTTATATTAATTTTTTTAGGTTAGCTTATAAAGTCATGGGCTTCTTGGCATATTTGTTCTAATGAATAGTTTTTGCCTCCTTTACAATCTCTTTTTATATTACACATAATTTCATACACGACTACTGTACAATTTTAAATCTAGGTGTCACAGGTAAGAGAAAATACGGGGGTCCAAATGTATTAGCAAATCAGATGATTTAGGTGAAATTATTTCTATAAGCTAAAGGTTTTTGTTTGTAAGTTCCCTTTGTGATTCTGTGTCTTATTCTGAACAGGAGAAATGCATGGATAAGCCTGGGCCAAAGTTGGACAGTCGGGCTGAGGCCTGTTTTGTGAACTGTGTTGAGCGCTTCATTGATACAAGCCAATTCATCTTAAATCGACTGGAACAGACCCAGAAGTCCAAACCAGTCTTCTCAGAAAGTCTTTCTGACTGATCTCAGCATTACCTCTTTGGAAAAATAGTTCAAGCAATGAAGAGCTGTTGATGGGATGGTTGAAGAAATGGCTATGTGGGGGGGGGGATTGGCTCCCAATTTTCTTTATCATCTTGGGACATCTTGTTATCTGAGAATGAACAAAGACCAGTTTTTATGTATGGGAGTTGAGAGTCATGTGTATTTGGTTGTGTTTTTAAAACTAATCATGTGAAAATAATTGACAGATAAATGAAATTATGAGATGCATATTACTGTATATGGGACTATGCTTTCTCAAGGTCCCTTAACTCCTTTATATAATTTTGATAGTGGAAGTGCTTTTTATAATTTGATAGTGGGACCACATAGGGTAAATCTCTTTGTATGGAATTCGTTTCTGGTTTTCTAGGGAGATCTTTGTGTCAGAAAAAGTAGCAGTAGGGAAATAACCTGGCTAACCTGGCACTGTTTAACCGTGAGCTTTCTTATCTTTCAAGTTTGACTATCAGAGCTGAAAAACATTCTATGGGTGTTATACAATCCAGTTTGTCTTCCCTATACTGTGATTTACTTAAATCTTGGATTAAAAACTAGGTCTCAAGGTACAATGGGCAGCCTGAGAATCCAGAGGGCTTTAGTTAGTTATAAAGGAATCTAGCTCATGAGCATAATTCTTACTACCAGACTGCCATGGGAAGAAGTTAACTTACTCTGTCTATCAGGCTACAAAACATTCACACATGTGCCTAAAGAAGTATAACAATTTAGGCCAGTCAAGAACAACAGTTTCAGGTAGAGGTGCATGCCTGATATTAGTCATAAATTCCATTAACTGCATTCTTTCGGTCACTGAAATAAAAGCTCTGCGAGATAACTTGTGATGGAAAGGCTTTTTCTATTTTGGGTTTTTATCTGCAACTCAGATTTCATGTGGGCGCATTCCAAGACAAATGTGGTTAGTCTCTTCTAGAGGTCCCTGAATTTTTTGTGAGAATTAATTTTAAAGATTTATTTATGTGTTTATTATGAATACAACATCCTGCCCCCATGTATGTCTGCATGCCAGAACAGGGCACCAGATGTCATAACAGATGGTTCTGAGCCGCCATGTGGTTGATGGGAATTGAACTCAGGACCTTTGGAAGAGCAGCCAGAGCACCCTTAACCTCTAAGCCTTCTCTCCAGCCCTTTGTGAGACTTTTCAGATGAGCTGAGAAGGGAAAGAAATCAGTGCTAACAGGTAGGTTCCTAATAGAAGAGCTTATATTGAAGTCCCTCTTGTTTTTAAATCTTCATAGACTGGAGTGTAGACCTAAAGGAAAGCTGCTTACTACAAATCCTTGAATCTGGGCAAATGCATACTTCTAGCATTTCCTCATAGGCACTATAAGGAATTTTTTTGCCAATTGTGATGAAGATATAAGTCAACAAACTATAAAGTGCCTTTTCTAAGTCAGACTCAGGGTTTGGTAAGAGGGATTCAACAGAACCAGCCCTAAGGCCGAAGAGATTAGTTCTTATAAGAAAGTTCTAGTAAGAAGGGTATAAGGACTTCAGTGTAGTAAGTTCCATTAAGAAGCTGCAAGGAACTGAAGAGATGGCTCAGTGGTTTAGAGAGCACTTGTTGCTCTTGCAGAGGACTGGGCTCAATTCTCCTTACCCATATGATGGCTCACAACCAACCTGACTCTAGTTCCAGAGGATCCAAGGCCATCTTCTGACTCTCTACAGACACTAGGCATGCATGGTACACAAACATACCTGCAAGTAGGTTTTCATGCACATAAAAATTTGAAAAAAAGAAACAGCACAATAATGGTATTAGGAAATGTTTGTGGAGTTTTGCTATTTTCTTTTTTTTTTCTTTTTGGTTTCTCTGTGGCTTTGGAGCCTGTCCTGGAACTAGCTCTGTAGACCAAGCTGGCCTCGAACTCACAGAGATCCACCTGCCTCTGCCTCTCAAGTGCTAGGATTAAAGACAGGTGCCACCACCGTCTGGCTGTTTTGCTATTTCCTAACAAGTAGTTGAGACCTGAAAGAACCAAGTGACCAAATGAGTATCAAGGAGAATTGTTTGGCAGAGAGAGAGATAACAGCCCAAAGTGTCTTAGGGCAGAAGCTAAATGCCATGACGTAAAATTAAAAGTCCTGTAGGATGAGACAGATGACAAAGGTAGGACAGTGTAAGACCTTTCAACTTTTACTTGACACAATGGAAAGGCATTTGAGTAATTTTTTTAGCAGATATGTGATGTCATATAGTAGTGTAATAAGTAGGACTAATAACAGTAATGCCCTTTTCACATTAAGCAGAGTTAAGGCACTTAGGGTAGGTATCTGACACATTTTTTATATGTATCAATGTAAAACAAGTGGCACAGAGTGTTCCTTTTTTCCCAATTTGTTTTTTGAGAGAGTTTGTCTTGGCTGTCCTGGAGCTCACTAGATAGACTAGACTGACCTTAAACTCAAAGAGATCATCCTGCCTCTGCCTCTCAAGTGCTGGAATTAAATCTGTGTACCACTAAGTCTGGAATTACTCTTCATTCTCAAAATATTTATTACTCTACAATTATTCCTTCTGATTTCTCATTCAGTAACATATTCTCATTGTATGCATGCATGAAGGTAAATGTTTTTATTTTACAATGTTATCATATTATTAGCTAATATAATGAGGAGGGTTGTGTCAGGTTCATACGTTATGCTTTGGCTCCATTGTTCGTCACCACTAGATACCAGGCAATTGAGAAGAAAAAGTATAACATGCCCCTACTTCCATTAAGTATGAGCAACCACTGGGGTTTTGGCAATCTCCGGAATGTGTTTTCACCCCTTGATTAAAAGAGTACTGTCAGTCCTGAAGTCCCAAACCTTGATTTCAAATATGTTTACATTAGAAAACTCCAGACTCAACTGTGAAATGAAATGACTGACTTAGTAAACGTAACAGGAAAATCTGAAAGGAAGTCTTAGAAGCCTAATATGTAATAAGAAAGGCCAAGCTGCTCTGATGTGGAAGGTACTACTTCCCTGGAAGCTCTGTTGGTGCCCTGTCTGCCCATGTATTGACTGCAGTCTAAGACATTGTCTTAGAGGCCCTAAAGACTTACCAAGCACCCTGCCTCTCAAATCCCCACTGCTGAGTCAATGAACCAATATTAGCAATCATAGGGGAACAAGGACTTCAAAATAAGGACAAGCATCTTTATAAGGAGTTTGAAGTCTAAAATGTAACAAACCAACCCATGTAAACTGTTTACCAGAAATAAAGCAAACAATTGATGGCCCTTTCTTTAGACAAAACAGTAAAACCTCACAATACCAAACTTTTCGCTGATAGAATACTGAGAAAATCTTGAACTAGGGAGCAACTATTCCAAAGATTGTCCACTGGTACAGCTCTCTTAAAACTTCCTTCAGGCACTTAATAGATGTATTCTACATCTTTCATCTATGTAAGCATGTGGGTATTGCTCAGATTCACTTATCTCAAGTATATGGTTTAAATATTTATGCATGTATTCCCTGTGGGTTTCTGTACTGAAAACTTGGCCTAGCCCAGTGTGGTGACAATGGAAGAGCAATTTAGAGATGGGAACTTAAAGCTGGAGGGATGGCTTAGTGGTTAAGAGCTTTTGCTACTGTTGAAGAGTCCTGGGTTCAGTTTTCAGCATCCATATGGTGGCTTACAACTGGTTGTAACTCAAGTTCCAGGGTATCCAACTCCTCCTCTGGCCTTTGTGTCACCAGGCATTCATGTGGTGCATAAACATAATACATAATAGACAAAACACTCACAAAAAATAGAGGTAGGACCCGAGGGGAGGTCATTGAGTCATAAGTGAAGCGACCTTGGGTAGGGTAAGGCTCCTTTCACAGGCCACTGAGTTCTTCAGAGAGGGAATTACTAGGATTGCTGTTCTGATTTGGCATTGCATTCTCTTCACACCCATGCTGCTACTTTTGCTACCTGCCATGAAGTGACAAGAGTTTCAAGGGGAGCCCTGGCCACAGCCAATGTTCTGTTTGAACACTCAGATTTCAAAGTCGTTAAATTCATCACATTTTTTACAGAGTTAGCCTGCTAGGGTCATTTTATTAGAGTAAAAAAAAATTGCTATGTTATCACCCTTTAATCCCAGCACTCGGGAGGCAGATGCAAACTGAGCTTTGTGAGTTTGAGACCAACCTGGTCTACAAAGCCAGTTCCAGGACAGCCAAGGCTATGCAGAGAAACCCTCTCTCAAAAACCAAACCAAAACAAACCCCATATTACTATATTATCACAATGCAACAGGTATGGACTAAAACTTTAACAAAATGTAACAGGTATGGACTAAAAGGAACATCTCCAAAGGCATAGAAGATATGAAGCTAAAAATATGTAAAGGAATCCTTGGATAATAAAATTTCTAAGACCACAGGTTGCTATTGCTTGAGTTAGGAAGGACTAAGACATACTGAACATATCGAAGCCATGGTTTGGACAGTTCATTTAAATGGTTACAAAGATTGCATGACAAATGTAAAGCCTATGCAGCATAATCGTGGCAGTCTTTGCTGTACAGAAATTTATAGAAGGGACAATAGGATATGGCAAACCAAGGTTCTGAACCCCAAGTAAGGTCTGGTGAGATGTCTCAGCAGGTAAAATTGCTTGCCACCAATCCTAACAACCTGAATTTGATCCCCAGGACCTACATGGTGGAAGGAGAGAACAGATTCCCAAAAGTTGTCCTCAGAATTTTACGCACGCACGCACGCACGCACACCTACTACTTCTATCACCCCCACTACTATTAATAATTTTTAAAACTCACAATTGAAAGCTGACTCATATGATGCTGGAGATGAAACCCAGCACTTTCTGTTTGCTAGACAAGCATTCTAACAGCTGGGCTACATCATTAGTCCAAGGTGTGTGTGTGTGTGTGTGTGTGTGTGTGTGTGTGTGTGTGTGTGTGTGTGTTTGGATCAGAGGACACAAAATTCATTTCTCTTCTTCCACCATGTAGGTCCCAGGGATTGAACTCAGGTCATCAAATTTGGCAATAAGCTCAGCTATCTCACTGGCTCAAGAACATATTTGATTGAAAGTCCATTGTAGCATTTTCCCAGAACTGAGCATCTTGATAATGTTGGCAAAGTAATTGCCTGAGAGAAAAAGAGAAGAACAAGAAGTCACTTTAAAGCCTGGTGTGGCAGCATGTGTCTCCAGTCTCAACATTCAGTAGTGGAAGAAGAATGAGAAGTACAAATTCATCCTTTGTTACATAGTGAGGGTGAGGCTACACGAGGGCACGTCTTATTTTTTTAGAACAATTTTATTTTCTATTTTTATTTGTGTGTATGTGTTTGTGTGTCTGCATGCCACATGTGGCTGTGTGCCTATA